AATGAAACATTGGTTACTTGTACTTGCCACCGTTGCAGCGGTGTCTGCAGTGCCGCCTCTACCTACCAATGCAAGAGTATGTATCGAACGATGTAATTGTAAATTCAGCAAGTTGCCGAGCAGGCTACAAATCATAGATTGCGATGGACCGCTCGTTCTCAACGCGACCACTTTCCAGTACATATCTAAGATCGCCGTTAACGTAATCACCTTGGAGAATGTAATCATCAACCAGATCCAAGAGGATGCCTTCAGGGATTTCAAAAATTTGGACGATATCATTATTGTCAAATCAAAAATCGGTTCAATCGACGCGAAATCTTTCAACAACGTAGAAAGGCTAAAGTTTCACGATTGTGGCTTTGAAGATAGTCCTGACCTCTTTTCTGAAAAGCTGCTGGAAGTTCACTTTGGTAGCTGTCACCTAGAGCAAATTCCCAATTTGAATGGCTTACTCAGCCTCACCTTTCTCAACTTGAGCGGCAACTATATTAAAAATCTGGAAATAGAGTCATTTGCTGAGTTGTTCAGTTTAGAAGAGTTGTACCTGTCAAACAACGAGATTTTCAAGCTTCCGCCAACTATCTTCATCAACAATCAAGCACTGAATAATTTAAATCTGGATAATAACCCCATTAGGAAATTTTATTTGAATACTTCTGAAAATCTTGAAACGCTTTCATTGAAAAACTGTCAGTTGGAGGAGTTCGATGAAGAGTCCACACGTAAACTTTCCACGCTCAACGAATTGGTCCTTAGCCACAATAACATTAAGAAAATATCCAGCAAGGCTCTATCTCACATGAAAGAGTTGGCTGTCCTCGACTTATCGTACAACCAATTGACAACATTGAATGATGATATTTTCTCCGAACATACGCAGCTAATAAAGGTTACCTTGGATGGAAACAACTTCAAAACATTGCCAAACTTCTACCTAAAAAATGGAAATAGCTTCTCATTGTACACCTTCTCATGCAAACAATGTGGACTGAAAACCTTATCAAGTTCCGTTTTCCAACACATGTCTGGTATAATAAATCTTGTGCTGTCTTACAACAAATTTATGAATGTCGATAACATTTTCGAGAAAATCGTAAGTTTGAAGTTACTCGACATATCGTACAACAGTATCACGTACCTTTCACCAACGGCATTCATGCACAATCGTAATTTGGAGAATCTACACCTGGCTGGAAATCCGTTGAAGGTACTCAATCCTGAGGTGTTCTACTACAACAGAGTTCTCAGAGAAATTGATGCCAGAAACGCTTCTCTAACCAAACTCTGGTCCAACACTAACAAACCAGTTAAGTCTCTACACAAGTTATTGCTTGGAGGAAATCAGCTGGGAACTCTTACCAAGGATGACTTAGATATTATGCCTTTTTTGGAAGCTATCGATCTTAATGATAATCCCCTAATTTTCGACGACAAACTTTGCAGTGTCATACACAGACTGGAATTGAATGGGGTCTCGCCCATTGAGTATACCAAGGATTTCTTCAACAGCTTTGAAAAAACCTATGGAGAAGACATTGACGGATTCAGTACTATTGACTGGAAGGATTTCCATCACAATACTTGTCCCGAAGTAACCACCAAATATATTCCTAAAGAAATTGAGGTTAGCAGCATGGATTCGAAAATTGAAAACACCTCAGAGGATGACGATGATTCATACAACTACGACTACAATTATGAAGACGATGGCGAGGATATAGATTCGGATGATTTGGACAAGTTCAGCCCTGCCGCTGGTGATACTTACCTGCTAGAAGGCGGAAATAATTCGTTGACTGGAGATTCGTATATGCTCGCTGTTGCACTAGCTTTCGTTCTCAGTGCTGTGGTGGTTCTTACAGTTGCTGTTACCGTGACCTTGTGCATACTCCGAAGAAACAACAACTTCAACATGCAAAAAGCGAACCTTCCAAGGCTGAAGATTCCCTTGTGGAATACCACTCCTGGTCAGAAGAAACACAGCGGGTCTATCTATAGACCGCTGTCGGAGGACCTTTCAGGTCCTAAAACTCCGAAGTTGAGTCGCTATGATTTCACTTCGGTTCCAACTGTGCATTCTTCCAGTCCTCAAGAATAATTTTGGATGAAATATTTCACAGCGCTTGGCTTTTAAACGTTACTTTTTGTAAATATATCCGAGCCAGGTTTTGATCTATTTATTATAAAGAATAGTAATATATGTAGACGCCGACCACCATTATTGTTTTTAATCTAGATATCTCGAAAACCGTCAATATTTTTGAAGTGAAGATATACATAAAGT